AGGAAAATCTGGGTTTTCTGTTTCCCATGGACAAAAAGGAAAAAAACACATAATTTTCCTTTTAACAGAGATTTCTGCACTTTTGCAAAGAGCTCTCTGCAGACTGCCTGAGTTCCAGCCTGCAAGGGGCTGGGGGAGTGTGAGAAAAGCAGTCAGGCAAGGGGCACCATGTACATATACAACAGGGGCAGGCAATTATTTTGGGTGGAGGGCTGCTTACCGAGTTTTGGCAAGCCATCACGGGTCACATGAATGGCAGCCCGGGCAGATAAATATTAATTTTCTAAATTTTTTAGGGGCCCCATGGGCCGGATAGAATGGCCTGGCTGGTCACATCCAGCCTGTGGGCCACATCCAGTGAGGAGCAGGACAGGGCTGTGGGCAAGTCATTTGCGGGGGGGGTGGCACTGGCAGGGCTGTGGCTTGCGAGTGAGGAGCCTGGATCTGCATTCTGTGAGCTAATGGGGCAGGGGGAGCTCTCATGTTATATATCAATAAAACAGTGTTTAGTTGATACATATATATCTCAAATCCCTCTGTTTCATTTTAATTGCAGATTTGGGGGTTTTAATCAGAGACTTTGCAATTTTTATAAAAGATTTTGAGGGGTTTTTTTGTTGTTTTTTTTACCAGAGAAAACCAGGATCCTGGCTGATCAGTTTATCAGTGAAAACAGAGGGGAAATAAAACTTTCTACACTCTACTGTGCTGTAGTAACACTTAGAACAATTCAAAACAGAGGGCCACAGTCCAGTACTTGAGAATCTAAGGAAAGCTCAGTCCATGAGGTCAAGTAATTTTGCTCCACTCTAGTAAGTTGCCCATTTTAACATAAGATGCATTGGGAGACGACACGTGGAGCTATGCTTAAAACTTTGTCTCCACTTCTATGTCATCCTCATAAGGAACAGTTTGGCAGGTCCAGCTGAGCACTCAGTTTATTGTATTCCAAGCCAATGTGTGTGTCAAGGTCATGTAACATACAAAAAACTAGAACTCTTGGTTTCAAAATGATACCTTTTATTAGACCAACTGGAAAATGGCAAGAAAATTGTCCTTTTCTGCAAGGTATCATTAAATAAAAGGTATCATTTTGGAACCAACAGTTCTAGTTTTTTGTATGTCTTTTTGTCTCAGACCTACACGGCTACCAAGTACACCCCTAAGGTCATGTAACCAAACTTATTAATTCCTTCACAATGCTCAGAGAACACTCAGCCTTTGCAATTCTCTGCATCAGATAAGGAGGAAAGTTAGCTAACTCTTCATCACTCTTCCCACTGTAGTCTGGAATTCAGATGTGTTTGAATCCTTTTGCCCTGCTTCTTTGTTGGTCAGCTGCCTCCAAACACCAGCATGGCATAAGCTAAAAATGGTCTGAAGTGAACCAAAAACCCAATTTCAATAGTGTGTAGTTGCTGCCATTTTATTAGTGCTGATTAGAAAGAGCATTAATTCTCTCATACTTACGAGTATCAAAAACAGAGAAACTGTCCCCAGGGCTCAGAATTTCAGACTCCTGGAATCGGATTTTCCCAGGTATATTAATGTCAAATAAATGAATCTGTTTAAAAGAAAACAAACCCAGGGCACGCCTTCTAAATTATTCAGCATAGCACTATTAATGATGTCTCCCTACAGCCCAAAAGTATATTTACAGATGTGATCCTGTGTTAAACATATGAACCCTATAGCCAACTTGATTATCAAAGCTTTGTCAGAATTCCTAGTCTACAATATCTAAGATTTAATTAGCGCTTTGGGACTATGGTGACATTTTTCAAAAATAAGATCCTGTCTTAGATGAATATATGCCTTCCCAGGTATTTGAGTAAATGTTTGTGCATTGGTAAACACCCAGAATTTAATCAACGGACACCTAGTTATCCATATATCAAGATTGATATTACTTAATATAATAATAGAAACAACGTAAAAAAAATCTAAAGATGAAAATAATTATTAATAAATACTTGTACGTGGCCTCTGCTTTCCTCAATAATATGTATTCAGAAATAGCAAGATGATATTATTTAATCCATTCACTGGACTAAATAGGAGAGCAGCCTTTTAAAGGAGTAGGTATATATTAAAAACACTTATATTAACATAAAACTTTGATATAAATAAACTTTGAGTCCTAGTTTAGAAAATAACTGTCTTTTGGGTACTGCATCACCTGAGTTATAAGCCTGCAAAACTTCCCCAGATGAGTAAATTCCCAACATCACACAGTTTCAACAATCTCAAATCTCAGATGCCAAGAAGATGCGGAAGTCCAAATCACTTTAAAGAGATATCATCAATATAACAAGCACAGCAATGACATAGGGTTAGGATGAGGAAAGGTGCCTGGCTGAACACTAGACCTGGGTGACTACTACCCAGTTCATTCCTGATCTGTTCAGTTTGGCAGTGATTGTGCATCCTGTTTTTTTCTGTTTTCTCAGTGATTTTGTTCAGAGGAATTTGGTTAGTGCATGCTGTTCCTACAACAAATCCCTCTACTCTCACATGATCAAAGGTGTTCATGTGCAATGAACAGTATTATTACTCGCCACTGTCCCAGATAGAAAGTTTCTGCCATCCAACCAGGGAGTAGAAACAATAGCCAAGTATGAGGTGGCGGCCAATCACCCACTGCAGACAGCTCCAGCAAAGAGCTTGTGAAATCCTGACAGTTGGCATTTGTCCACAAATTCTGTGCAACTGGTTGCTCAGCACTGAATAAGCCCATCGCTATCAAGCATCTGTGAAAGCTAGAAAGGTGAAATTAACCCCCAAATGGATTTGCAAAGTGCAACAGCATTGTTTAGTGGCTGGAACAGAGGACTTGGGATGAAAATCCTGGTCCCAGTGAACTCACGTGGAACTTCAGGGTCAACTACAGAGTCCCACTGACTGTGGTGGAGCCAATGCTTCATCTTGGTGATTTTAAGTGTTCTGCAACTTTCTGCAATAACCCATTAGGAAAAATCAACTCACCTCCCTGAACCTTCCTTTCCTCATGTAGAAAATAAGTATATTTACTCATCTTTGTAAAGTATGCTGAGGTTTTCAGCAGAAAAATACTCCACCAGTTACATGATATTTCTCATTACTGCTGTTCTTTTTGGACATGACCTAATTTATTTGCTTCTTATTAAAGAAAGCACATAATCGCTTTTGCAGAACACAGCTAAATATCAGCCACATCAACCCAAGAAACCTGCTGACAAACTGCTTTTTTCTCACCTTTCTGTGCTTTGCCACCATTGCACCATCAGGTCCAAACACAGTGCATGTGTTATAAAACTTCCCACCGGCCTGCTCTGGAATGGATCCTTGAATAAGAACAGAACACAGATTTCCAGCTCTAACATATGAAGTGCTAATCCAGCTGCACAAAGGAAGAGAGCCACTCTTGCCTGTGCCACTCCCAGAGGGTTGCATTTGAGCAAGACAGACATTAAGAACAAGCTACCTCCAATGAGAAAGATGCCACACTCCTTTGCAACTTCTGAAAGCTTCTGTGTGGATTCCCCAGGAATTTCCTCCGCATATTCACGAAAAAATTTAGCTCCATAAGGAGAATTAAAGCATTCCTAGGATTGGGAAACAAAGAAACAAAATTAGAATTTGAAAGGCCCACTAAATGCCTAGATGGGGGCCACTGAAACTATTTACCAGGGCCATCCCAGCAGGAGGGGAAAATAAGGGTGACTGTCTTGGGCCCCGCGCTTTGGGGGGGTCCCACAGAGTGGGGTGGAGCAGCAGTGGTGCAGAGCTGGGCGGAGCAGAAGCTCCATGTCCAGCTGCTCGCTACCACCACCCCGGGCCTCCGGGTCTAGGTCTGGGATCAGAGAGGGGGTGGGACCCCACATAGGCTGATTCACCTTAGGCCCCACACTCTGCTCAGGACAGCTCTGCTATTTACTTAAGGTTTTTTGTTGTTTTTTATAAACAGTCCTCAGCACGTAGAATTATGAATGTCCATTAAGGCTAAATACAGACAGACAAAAAGCCTGAAGCTGAATTGATTCAATCTTTGCAGGTTAGCCTAAAATGCCCAGATTGAACTGATAAGCAAGTGAACAGGCACTTACTTCTGATTCCAGGAATGCAGCCATCTGCCTGCAGTGGCCCCAGCCAAATGCTAGGGGGCACTAGAGCATGCCTCTCTGCTTGGTTGGAGTAGACAGCTTTGGCCAAGGTTAACCCGCCCAACTTACAAGAGGGGGTTTGCAGGGGAGGTGCTAAGCATCCTGGGATGTTGGGGGGACTGTGAGTTAACTTGAATCTGGAGGAGATCTAGGACAGGATTTCAATAAACCAATCTAACTTAAATCAATTAAATCTGATACTACATGTATCCAGGTTTATTTCAAGCTGGTTTTGACCTCTTTGAAGGCAATTTCTGTGCACTGAACTTCTGTTGTGTTACAGAGTTGAACCAGTTTATGATCACTTATACCAGTTTGTGTGTAATTTCTGTCCCTAGTCTAAGTAATTGACCTCCAGGCTTAACACAAGAAACATAATCAGTGCCAGTACTGATGGTGGTTCAATGGGAATGAATCTCCAATGGAAACTGAATCAGTCACCACCAGCCCATTTCATGAAGCCCAAACTGATGGTAACAAGCTTTGCTCATTTGCCAATCTAGTTGCAATAAGATCCAATAGTCTAGGGTTAATATATCTGTGCATTTCACAAGGGTTCCCAGCCATCTAGTCCCAAGTGGCTTGTTTGACAAGTTCTGAGCTGTGTGAGTCTTAGCAGGACCAGTGGGGTTTTTGCTTTTGTGCACAGCCCACATTCAAAAAGTTGGTTTTTTTCAATCCAAATTATTTTCTAAGATATTTCTCCTTCTTCAAGGCCTCCTGAAACAATCTGTTAAATGCTTTATTCACACAATTCTCATGTCCTCGGTCTCTAGTACAAACATCAGTCCATGCCCTGCTCCTACTTGGGAAACAAAGAAATTGATGATCAAAAGGGTCCCTTTTAGCTTTATGTGCTCCAGGACTCAAGCTACTGTTCAGTCTTACCCCCCCGGATATCTCCTTGGATGTCAGAGTATCATAGCAGCTAGGGTTGGAAGGGACCTAAACAGATCATTAAGTCCGACCCCCTGCCTTAGGCAGAAATGGATGCTGGGGTCATATGACCCCAGTCAGGTGTCTATCCAGCCTCCTCTTAAAGACCCCCAAGGTAGGAATTCCCTTGGAAGTTGGTTCCAGGTCCTAGCTGCCCTAACCGTAAAGTAATGCCTCCTGATATCTAGCCTGAACCTGCTCTCTATCAACTTGTGGCCGTTATTCTTAGTTACCCCAGGGGGCTCCCCAGGGAAACAGGGCATCTCCTATTCCTTGCTGATCCCCCCTGGCGAATTTGTAGATGGCCACCAGATCCCACCTCAGCCTTCTCTTGTGGAGGCTGAATAGGTTCAGGCCCTCTAGTCGCTCCTCATATGGCCTGCTCTGCTGCCCCCTGATCATGTGAGTGGCCCTCCTCTGGACCCTCTCAATGCTAGCCACATCTCTCTTGAAGTGCAGCACCCAAAACTGGATGCAGTACTCCAACTGCAGCCTGACCAGTGTTACATAGAGGGGAAGGATCACCTCCCTGGACCTGCTTGAGATGCATCCGTGGATGCATGACAAGGTGTGGTTGGCCTTCCTGACAGCTTCCTCGCATTGGCAGCTCATGTTCAACCTGGAGTCAACAATGACTCCAAGATCCCTTTCTGCCTCTGTGCTGATGTTCAGAGCATGACGTTCAGAATGTATCAGATGTTCAATCCTGAAATATCATCAACACAACTAGTGCAGCTAAGACAACAGAATGTGGCACCATCAACCTTCAGCACCAGAGCAATGAGCCAAATACCTCAGAACTACTGTGCCCAAGAGACTGTAAAGCATGACATCACAGGCACATATGCTTGTGTGATTTGTTACCGCTGTGACCAAATACAATGGCCTGCAAGCTGCATCAGAATTACTGTGACCATCAAGGCCAGCATTTCCTGAAGCAGAAAAGACAGACCTTGGAACTGTTCTCTAAGGTCAAAACTATTTTTTAAAAGGCAGTTAAATTTCATACATTTTTAGGCTGGGGGACAGGGATTTAATTATAAAAAATGGATTTAAATTTCTTAATGTCAATTTTTAAATATTGGTTTTGTCCATGCTGTTTCTGTGTGCAGGACTGAAAGAAAAACTGACAAATCCAGTAGTAAATGTGTAACAGGAAAAATTCTTCCCCTCTCCCCACCGCAGCTCAGCATTTATGCCAGGTGGTGTACAGCCCAGTGCAGCACTATCAGGTATTAGAGGGAGCTGGAGTGATGAAAGATGGGCTTGTAGCATAAGCTCAGGACTGGGAGTCAGACTGTGTTTCCTTCCCGAGTTCTGCCACAGGCTTAAGGTAATCTTGAGCAAGTCTCTTCAGCTCCTTGTGTAGCAGGCGCCCCATCTAATTTTTTTTTTTTTTAAAGAAAAGACTTGAGAAGATGATGTTAATTTCTGCATACTTCCAAGTGGTGCTACAAGTTTACATTAGGGATGTTCGTTTTGTGCTTTAAGATTGTCTGGCAAAATATTATATATAAGCACAAAATAACTTGAGAGAGGATGAAACATGTAGAGTCCATGCTTGCTAACCCCTGCATTGTGATGAACAAAGTCTGGTGGTTTTAGCCTTTGTATGTATAACTTGCAAACAACTGGTAATGGCAAAGTAGGTGGCCCAGGGCAGGGTAATCAAAGGTCAGATTTCTTATGCCAGAGGTACATTGGTACAACTGAGCAGGAAAGTTTACCTAATACTTGGTCAACCAACAGGAGAAGGGAAAAATTTTCGCCTCATAAAAATTCAGATCTAGAGTCCACTCTGACAAGAACTTTGCCTTCATGGGTCAAGGATTGCACAGCAGAGGATTAATGACTAGCCCTGGAAACACACAGAGCTTATTGAATCACTGAAAGTCACCTTTGTTAGTGCATGCATGCATCTATGTAAATAACAACAGAATGCAAATCAGAAAGCAGATCAGAAGCCATTTGAAGTTTTAATGAAAATCATGGGTGTCTTTACACGTGCTCTGGGATGGAGGAGGGGAGGGTGCTTTAATTAGAGCGGCTCTAAGAGCCACTCTAAAGCTCCTGCAGCATCACATGTATTCAGCATCCTGTGCTTCAAAATGGCGGTGGGGGTGGTTTAATAAAGCTCATTCAAGCTTTAGTTAAAGCACCCCTGCCGCCATTTTGAAGCACAGGGATGCTGAATACACATAATGCAGGGGGTGCTGGAGCATGCTAATTCACACTGTCTAGCAGACTTGATTGAGTCTGCTCTGACACATGCTAATTAGCACACAACAGAGCAGACATACAGGCCCATATAGGTGCCCCATATCTCTAACAAAGTAAGCACGAAAGAGAAGTGTTCAGTCACAGGAAGGGGAGTTTTTGAATCAAAACACATTTTAATAGTTGGGTACTAGTGTTACCACTTCTTTTTAGGTGGATATTTTCTCTCTTAAACCCAGATCTCAGGGTTTTAAAGACACAGTTTAACATGAATATGAGGGCCAGAAAACTCAGAGACAAACAAGTCACTTGAAAGATCTGGATCCTTTCTGTCTCACTTCTTCACTCTGCATACATATTCGGTGAGAAGGCCAAAAGAAAAGTAGCAAAGACACCTGTGTTCTCCGAGGGGCATATAAACATTCTGCTGATTGGAAAATCATCTCTTTTTCTGTCACATAAGGTTTCCATGCTGGTAAGGAAAGTCCCAGGCATCCAGTACAGGGGCGGTGCATAGGGGGTGCACGTGGGTGCATGTGTACCCCCTGAGCGTGGTGGTGCGCGCCCTACAAAAAGGTGCCACCCACACTGTCGGTGGTGCCTGTGGGTGGTTGCCACTTGCCACCCCCCACCCCTTGCTGCTGACACCACCTGCGGCATCTGTGGGCAATCAGCGATTCCCACTGGTCGCTGCTGCCGGCAGCATCTGCAGGTGGTCACCGACCCCTGGTCAGCACTTCCCACCCTCCTCATCCCTGCCACCACCCACAGTGCCAGCAGCATCTGCAGGAACTCCCTGCCTACTGCTGCCGGCTATTCAAGTTAATGGGGTTACCTTGAGTACAGATGAACACAACTTAGCTTGGAAACTAACATCACATAAAGACAATCTGCTAGCTCCAACCAATTCTACTGCATGACAGATTCTTCCATGCATTGTTAAGATCTGTTACGGGACACTATGACTTAGTTTCTTTCAGAGCCTGTTGAAGGCACCTTAATGTACCAGGCAGGAGACAGAAACACACAGTAGAGAAATGCATAGTATATGATGACATAGGGAAGAGGGGAATAGTAGTTTGAGGAGATCAGATCAATACTCACAGGCAGAACCACGACTTTTGCACCTTTGGCTGTTGCTTCTCTTACCAGCCCACAGGCACGTTGCAGGTTTTCCGATTTGACGGAGAGTACATTCAGCTGAATTAGTGCCAGACGGAAGTCTAATGACAGAGAAGATGGAATGAGCCAAAGCAACCCTAGTAAAACATGTCCCAGTTATACTAAATGGATTGGATGCCCTGGCCAGAGAGGGAGCCAAAAACTAGTCCCAGAGAAGAGGACATGATCACGACCAGACAGGGAAAGACCATCTTCCACCTTTCGTCAGCATTTCAGCAGCCAAGCGAATAAGGGCTAAGGGGCAAATCCTGACTATGTTGCTGTTTAAAGGGGCAACCGAGTAAACAACATTTCACTGCAGTTGTAAACAGGCATGAAGTCAGGGAACTCATTTAGCAATGGTGAGAGTCTGTGGTTTTCCAAAACTCCCTTTTTTCCTCCGGAAATTCAGAGAAAAATACTACATTGGAGAAATTAGCGACTGAAAGAAAGCCAGACTTTAAACCTTTGTATACACATACTGAGCACATACAATATTGAACATAAATACATTGACATGGGGTTTAAAAACCAAACCATGAGTAACTTAAGTTTTCTGTGCCACAGAAAGCAAGGCAGCAGGGCAACTTAGTGACTGACTGGTTCAGAGAGGCAACAGCTTCCTAGGTGACAGCCTACTTGGCCAACTTGCCCTGCCTCCTACCTGACTTTAGACTGCCACAGCTGACTACCTCTCTCTTTTTTTCTATGCCTCAGATTCTTAACTTGTTAAGAGCCCTTAGCCACTTTGTGGAGATTTAGGCAGCTTCATAAATAAGAGATATTTAAATGCATTGCTCCCTTTAGATGGTACAGTACAAGTAGAGAGGTGGGGGCTTACAACAACTTTCTTGCAACATGTCTTTGCATTTGGTGCATTTTGAGCTTCTTCAGAAGACACCTTTAGAGGCTTATTAGAAGACCCCAGCCTCCAGGCCTGCCAGCAGCTTTCAGAGGCGAGTGCAAGTAACCTTGGAGCGCTGCACTGCTTTGCCCATGTTGCGCACACTCCAAAGCACCCCTGTACTTTACAAAAGCAGAATGCTTCTGAGATCGGGCTTTTGGAAACATGTCATGTGGACAACTAAAAGGAAAATGCCAGCAGAAATAAGCTCCCCTCCTACCCACCTGCAGGAACTCAGCAAACCAGGGTTTGTTTTTGGACCCTAAATGTTGCAGGCACATACAAGCACGCAAATAATTGAACAGGAGTGTCTGCCGAAGGCTTTGAAGGCAGTGACAAGTGTTGGGGTGGAGATGATGCACTTGGATCAGATCAACAGAGCAGCTGGCTCCGCACCCTGTCTTTGGCAGCAGCCAGTTGTTACCCTGGCACCCCCACTTCCCCTTCCCCACACAGGCAAGCAAAGAGGAAGCCCTGGGGCTGGGGGAAGAGAGCAGGCCCCACCCTTTCCAGTCAGCCCTGGCCTCGCTTCCTTCTCCCTTCGGGGAATCGTGACCTTGGCAGGGCAGAGGGGAGGGAAGTCTGTGTGCCTGTGCGTTTATATAGTGTCTGTATGCATGTAGAGAGAGAGAGAGAAAGAGAGAGTGAGTGAGTGTGTGTGTGTGTGCGCGCGCGCGCACGCACATGTATACAGTGCATGTGTGTGTAAAAGAAGCCAGGCTCACTCCAGGGGCAGGGGAGCAGGAGCCCGGGAGTGTTGAAGCGGGAACAGCCCAGCAGCCCCAGAACGCGCCCCGCGCTCCGCACCCGCCTGAGGTCACTCACTGGCCATAGCTCCGCGCGCCGACAGCATCCTAGCTGGACAGGGGGCGGGGCGGGGCGGCGCATGCACAATGCGCCCCGGGGCTCCTGGGAGCTGTAGTCCGCTGGCGGGCGGGGCGGGAGACACGTGCTGGGGCCGGGCGGGGAGGTGCCAGGCACGTATGGCGGCCTGCAGTTTGAGCCTGAGGCGGTGGCAGCCCCCCTGGCCCGTGCACTGTGCAGGGCTCGCGGCCAAGCTGGGGGCACAGCAGCCAGGCTGCGCACGCAGTCGCAGCCTGCAGGGCAGCCGCAACCCTCGCCCCCCCACCCCCCGGCCAAGCCCCTGAGTCTCCCCTCACAAGCTGAACAGGGGATTTCACGTAGGAAGCCCGAGGCACTGGGACAGGCTGTGGCCTCAGCCCCATGCAGCAGCAGGAGCAGCGGCACAAGGACCCTACTGTTATTCCATTAAGAACGAGGGAAATGAATTTACACAACGGGGTGTCACTAACATTCGGCAAAGCAATACAGGGATACGTTGAGTCAAAGCAGGTCTAAGCGACAGGGGGCAGGTGTGGCTTCCCAGGGACGTTATTCATAAACATCACCACAACCCAACTTTTAACAGGCAGGCAAGGTTCTCTGAGTAGATGTGATGTCTCACTAAACCAACTGAGTAGTTGGAAAAAAGTTCTTAGCAAGCTTTCAGGCACAGTCACCCTTCTTCAGGCATGGGGAGGTCTCTGCTGGTCGGAGAACACAAGGAAAGAGGTGCTAGTGTGGCAGGATGTCAGTGAACGTGGAAATAGGAAAAATCAGAAAGACAAAAGGTGAGGCAAAGCGGGGAGAGGGAAGAGAGCAGGGAGGTAGTGGAGTGATAGAGTACAAGGTAAAACCGAGACTGTCAGGCAGGTACCTGGTGAATCCGATGTCAGGATGCCATAAATCCACTGTCTATATTGATTTCATGAGTTTTTATATCCAGTAAATGTATGAAGTGCAGGGCATAGTCTGCTCTATGGCAGGTGTTTTGTAAGTTCCTTTTGAGGCTTGAGAGATATCAGAGGGGGAGTGATTGTGCTGTGAGAAATATGCCCCCACAGGTAGTTGGGTATTCTGGTCTTTGATAGATTTTCAGTGTGCGTTCATTTTGGTGCGCAGTTGTTGTTTGGTTTCACCAACATTTTCCCTCAGGGCATTTGGTGCACTGGCTGAGCTATGTAACATTTCTGGAGGTGCAGGTATAGGATCCAGAAATGGTGATGGTTCTGTTGTGGGGTGTAGTTATAGTGGGGGTGGTGGAGATGTTTGCAGGTTTTGCATTTCTTGTCCTGGCATTGACAAATAGATCCAGATCATGCCAGGACAAGAAAGACAAAACCTGCCACACTTTTAGCTTCTCTCTTTCCTTGGGGTCTTAGAACAGCAGAGACTCCCCACACGTGAAGAAGGGTGACTGCACCCAAAAGCTTGCTAAGAACTTTTTTCCAACTACTCAGTTTGTCTAATAAAAGACGTCACATCTACTCAGATAACCTTCCCTGCCTATGTCCTTAGATCAACACGGCTACAACCAAAAACCCAGCATCTTTTATCAGGGCACTTTCAACTTCAGACTCCTGTTTTCAAAGGATCCCACACAGATGAGTTTGATCAACCCTAAAGCCAAGTGCTATGCTTTTAACCAGGTCCCTCCTGTTCCTGCATCGTTCTCAGCTTTTAAAGCATGTCTTTCATAGGAAGAATCATCTTTTAGGCTAAAAAATAAATTGCCAAAGGAAAACAGATGTTTGTCATCCATTTTTCTCTATAGAAAACACTGTTAGATGTTAAAATAAAATAAAAAACAAACACTACAAAGATGTGGTCTTTGCCTGAGGCCAAAACTGCATCCCCCACTATCCAGGAACTCCTGACCTATACACACACAGAAGACGCATACCTTTTTATTTTTCATTTTAGGTTACTTCAAAAATTTATTTTGTCTTCTAGGTTTCTAGATCATTTAAGACGATTTTTTTTTTACTTAGCTCTGCTGTTCATCACTTGCATGATAAAAAAAAAAAAGTACAACATGCTTTAACCTACATAGCTAGAAGTACAAAAAATCTTGCTTAGGTCATATCAATGGAGAAAGGTGTTCAATTCTTTATGTAGCAATATACATCTAGCTCTCAGAACCATTCCATCATTCAGCATATTTGTCAATTTGGTCTGAAAAGGTGATGTTGCAGTTCAGACAGCATGGGTAGGAATACATAGCATGGTACAGACACCTACTTAGGAGGACTGCTGTAAGAAACCCACAAGTGCAAGGTCCACTTATATAATAGTGCACAGGTCCACTTATAAGATAATAATGCCTGAAGGGGAAAAAAAAGGGCTTGAAAACAGAACTTGAACACAGAAGGGATGAAAGCCTGGACTTCAAACATTATTTTTCCCCCTCAACAACACAAGTCAATACAGAGTAGGTGTCAAAAGTTACAGATTTTAAAAGAATACTTCTATATTAAAATAGGAAAGATACAAGTATTTCAATACTTTTGAAGAAACATTTGAAACGATTATTCATATAAAATGTAATACTGTTGAGCAGAGTTGGAAAGATGTATACAATTATAAAAAATTAGGGTTGGAAGGGACCTCAGGAGGTCATCTAGTCCAACCCCCTGTTCAAACAGGACTGTCCCCAACTAGATCATCCCAGGCAAAGCTCTGTTTAGCCAGGTCTTGAAAGTCTCCAGGGATGGATCTTCCACCACCTCTCTGGGTAACCTGTTCCAGTGTTTTACTACACTCCTAGTGAGACCATTCTTCCTAATATCCAACTTAAACTTCCCTTGCTGCAACTTCAGATAGATGCTCCTTGCTCTGTCATCTGCCACCACTGAGAACAGTCTAGCTCCATCCTCTTTTGAACCTCACTTCAGGTAGTTGAAGGCTGTTAAATCCCCTCTCAGTCTTCTCTTCTCTAGACTAAACAAGCCCAATTCCCTCAAACTCTCCTCGTAAGTCATGTGCCCCAGCGCCCAAACCATTTTTGTCACCCTCCACTGGACTCTCTCCCAATTTGTCCACATCCTTTCGGGGGTGGGTGGGATGGAGATGTCAAACCTGAACACAGTACTCCAGATGTGGCTTCACCAGTGTTGAATAGAGAGGAATAATCACTTCCCTTGGCCTGCTGGCAACACACCTATCAATGCAGCCCAGTATGCTGTTAGCTTTCTTGGCAACAAGGGCACACTGCTGACTCATATTCAGCTTATTGTCCACTGTAACCCCCAGGTCCTTTTCTGAAGAGCTGCTGCCCAGCCAGGCAGCCCCCAGCCTGTACCAGTACATGGGATTGTTCCCTCCTAAGTGCAGGACTTTGCACTTGTCCTTGTTGAACCTCATGAGAGTCCTTTTGGCCCAATCCTCCAATTTGTCTAGGTTCCTCTGAATCCTAGCACTACTCTCCAGCGTATGTACTACTCTCCCCAGCTTGGTGTCATCTGAAAACTCGCTATCCAATTTGTCTAGGTTCCTCTGAATCCTAGCACTACTCTCCAGCGTATGTACTACTCTCCCCAGCTTGGTGTCATCTGAAAACTCGCTAAGGGTGCACTCCATGCCATCTTTCAGGTCATTGATGGAGACATTGAACAAAACTGGCCCCAAGATTGACCCCTGGGGCACTTCACTTGGTACCAGCTGCCAACTAGTCATTTAGCCATTGATTACTACACTCTGAGCCTAATGCTTCATCAAGTTTTCTATCCAGCTTACAGTCCATTCATCCAGCTCATACTTCCTAGCTTGCCTGCGAGAATATTGTGAGAGACTATATCAAAAGCCTTACTAAAATCAAGGTTCATCACATCCACTGGTCTCCCTGCATCCACAGAGCCTGTCACCTCATCATAGAAGGCAATCAGGTTGGCCTGACTTGCCCTTGGTGAATCCATGCCGACTGTTCCTAATCACCTTCTCCTCCAAGTGCTTAGAAATGGATTCCTTGAAGATCTGCTCCATGATTTTTCCAGCGACTGAGGCGAGGCTGACTGATCTGTAGTTTCCTGGATGCTCCTTTTTCCCCTTTCTTCAATATGGGCACTATGCTTGCCCTTTTCCTATCATCTGGGACCTCTCCTGATTGCCATGAGTTTTCAAAGATGGTAGCCAATAGCTCCACAATTCCATCAGCCAACTCCCTCAGCACCCTCAGGTGGATCGCATCTGGCCCCAGAGATTTGTATATTTCCAGCTTTTCTAAGCAGCCCCTAACCTGTTCTTTCACCACTGAGGGCTGATCACCTCCTCCCCAAACTCTGCTTCCCAGTACAGTAGTCTGGGAGCTGACCTTGCCTGTGAAGACCGAGGCAAAAAAGGCAATGAGCACTTCAGCCTTTTCTGCACCCTCTGTCACAAGGTTGCCTCTCCCATTCAGTAAAGGATCCACACTTTTGCTGATCCTCCACTTGCTACCACCATAATTGTAGAAACCTTTCTTGTTATCCTTCACATCCCTTGCTAGCTGCAACTCGAATTGCGCTTTGGCTTTCCTGACTTGTACCCACAATAGAAGCCTAACTGAAAGACCAGTAATGAATCTCTTATTAAATCTAAAGACTACAAAATAAGAGCCTGTTTCTACTTTGCTTATCTGTGGAGATAATGCAGTATTAGGAATAATTTGTGCATATAATTTAATTTTACGGATGTTAGGCCCATTGGGTTAGTCATGAAGACTTAAAACACATGCATAAAAATCTGTGGGATTGAAGACAACATACAATTATTAGTGTTCTTGGTGCTTCCATGGGAATAGAAGGTCCTGAGTGTTAATTTTTGTCTTGGAGGCTGGCTTAAAGAAAAATATCCCTGCAAGGATAATCAAACGTGTGAGAGAAATAATTAAGAAAGCATAAAAACCAGTTGTTGATCCAGAATTTATAAAAAAAAAAATTTAAAAAATGGAGATCCTCCAGACAAGAAAAAATTATTAAAGGAGTAAAGTTCTGAGATTTTTTGCAATGACTTCAGCATGATTACCAAAAGAGAATGAAATAAAACAGAAAATGAAAGAAGTTTCAATTTATCTCCAGGAACACTTGCGATTAGACATGTAACAATTGTATCAAT